TTAAAACGACATGTTGATGCTAAGCTGCGCCACTGGATACTTTTGATATGTATCTATTATGCACATATCCCATACATTAAGTGACATTTCAAGAGAGATAAGAAAATATGGAGATATGATTATCATAAATACTTATGATGATCAAGATAGAAAAAAAGTGGAATATGTAATATAATTTCTAATTATTTTATCATCTCATGAATTTAGAGCTTGTTCTGGTTTCAACTTACATACCAAACTCAAATTGCCATTATTTTTGCCAGATCATAGAATCTTCCACATAAATAATTTGTTATTATCATTACAGAAACTACAAACAAATGTCTAAAGGTCTTTTGTAATAAGGAGAAATACACCTGATTTCCTCCAAGCTCTGTCCTTTTGCATGTTATACAGTATATGTCAGGTCTATCTTACTGATATCATTTTGAATCCAATGTGGAAACTTCACAGCTGGTTGCAAGACAGTTACTTCACTCATAGTGAAAGATCTAGCCAGATAGCATTGATAAGTATTTAAATGGAGTGTGTGTAGGGGGGTTGGAAGATCTCAGAAGTAACTGGTTCCCTTACAATATAACATATTCTAATTGCTAACTATTTCTTTTGTCCTTTTGTAGGGATAGGCCCTATTTCAGGTATAAAGGTGCATCCGACCAGCTATTAAACGTTTATCATGAAGATACGCACAAAAGAAAAAGCCTGTTGTTGTCTCACGCTTACTCTTCAACCCTGACTTCAGCCCTTCTGAAACCTACTGGAAACCTAACAGTTTTCCTAATCAGCCTCCCTAACAGAAAAAAAGTTTAAAAAGTAGAAAAAAATAAATAGTAAACGATTGTGCGGAGCTAGCAATGACAGATAGCTCCGCCCAACAGTTTTCTATTGGCCGGCGGTTCTGCTGCCATCAAAAGGAAAAAAACTCTCCCGGGCGCTCCGGGAGTCTCCCGCTCCCGGCCGCCAAGGAGAGAAACACTGCTTTTTCTTTTTTTGTCTTTATTCTGACACTGAGCTGTCAGGGCGGGTGCAATGCTAGTTTGCTATTGGCTATTGCAAATTGAAATAGCCAATAGGAATCTAGAAATGCATTCCCGTGGCCAAAATTTAGTTTTTTTTTCTATTCTGACACAGCTCCGTGTCAGAATAAAAAAAAAGAAAAAGCAGTGTTTCTCTCCTTGGCGGCCGGGAGCGGGAGACTCCCGGAGCGCCCGGGAGAGTTTGCTGTCTGGAGATTAGTGTCTCTGGTTAGCTGGTAACCAGGGACGCTGATCTCTCTGCAAGTGGCCGGAGCCAGCCGTAAGATCACGGCCAGCTTCGGCTTTAAACGCGGCTCAGCCGAGCCGAGGCATATGCCTTCGGCTCGACTGAGCCGATCGGTCAAGTTCGGGAGCTGTACGGGCTATAGTGTAGAACCGAAGGGGTCCTGGGGCCAAAGCTAGCCAAAGGATCGGCCGAAGCTATGGCTAGATCCTTTGGCTGCTTTGTGAATAGACCCCTAAGAAAATGGAGTTTGTTAGTACAAATGGCTAGATCCTTTGGCTGCTTTGTGAATAGACCCCTAAGAAAATGGAGTTTGTTAGTACAACACCTATCTGCATGAATATGTATTTCTGTGACTTTAATTGGGCTTCAGTTTTTTGTTCTGGCAGTATACCAGTCCGCAGGAAGATCAGTGTGTGAAAACTTTTGGCTGCACAAAACCAGGTTTTCTGAGAACACCTTATCCGAGCCTGTGATCCTGCAGGTCAATGATTCTCAATTGTACTGAACAGGGTCTGTTTTTCAGTCTAATGCACACTAAATATTAACAAATAAATGTTTCATACACTATCCCTAATCCCCACTGTAACCTAGTATACATATTACATTGTTTTAGATTTAGATGTGTGGGAGGAAAAATGCTGTATGTAGCCAAGAATGAAGTGCCCATTATTAGGCTTTAGTTCCATCCAAAGCCTTTTGAAGGCCCTGCTCATTCTTAGGAAAGCTCTATAAACCGTAAATTATGGTTAACTGAGTCAACATTTTTGCTTTGACACTGAATACAATGTTCACATGGGTGCTAGTCCTTTCTAGTGAAAGGGCCACAATTTTTCCTGATCCCCCGGGGCGCAAGGCTCCTGACAGGGACACGAACGACTCAGGTCCGTCAACCCGAAGGCGGCGGACCCCGATCCTCTGGGACCTGCCGAAACAGGTCCCCAAGTACTAGGTTGGGGGCTCTCCCGAAAAGATACCCCCCCACATGTGGGAGAAGGCAGAGGGGCCAATTTGTAGGTCACATAACCTCCTCCCCAACTTCAGGAAGCAGGCCCAAAGGTACCCGCACCATCCGTCAATCTGTGAGAGTTCAAACGTGCCAATTGTGTTTTAAGTGCATAAATACAAATCTGAAGTGCCAGTGCACCACGCTGACAGGCCTTAGGGGCCGGAGTGCAAAAATATTGCCCCGGACTAGCCATAAGGCCTGTCCAAGAGGCATTGTACGGAGAAAGCAATGAGTGCCGTGTCCATGTGTCAGTGAATCAGTGTTGGGGTCCCACACCAATGTGATACTTTGGCACCCCTGGGACGCCACCCTCAGGGGGCACAGCACAACGGGCTCTGCCGCCTCCCACCCCTCCGGCCAGACCAAGTGGTTCTCCATTCCCATCAGAAGGTAGCACCTTCAGGGGTCCATCCACCGTCTGGGGTCTACCCGTACCTCGGGCCTGACGCATCCATCGGCGGACTGTACCCCATCCGACACCCACCAATTACACCAGAGGGTACTAAGACGCATCCGCCCCTTTCCATAGACGGCAGCATCCTTTCCCCTCCGGCAACTGATAAGAACAGATACTACACTTGATCTTAGCCAAAAGGCCGAGAAGCACTGAATACAACAATATAAATAAAAGGTTTACATTCTTTATTAAGCTGTTTGAGGCCACCTAAAGAAATTAAGCACCCTGCAGTCTTCTGCATAGTATCACTGAGAGAGAAGAGTTAAGAACTCAGGGCACTAGAGCTGTTACTCTGACAATGTAAACATGCCTACAGGAGGGAAGAGTAGTATGCTGCTACTCCTTCACTGTCCGGTAAGAAAATTGGGGGGTGACCAAGTAACCTGAAAACTGACCTGTAATTGGTCACTGGCCTGTCTGTTCCATCTGGGAGGGATGCCTGGATCAAATAACAGACTGAGCAGAGTTGCAAATACTTTTGTAGGTTAAAAAAAAAATACATATATGCATTTTAACTCTGTTTTAGCTCTTTGCCTGGAGTTTAGTGTTACATCCTTTGATGTTTCAGAAAAAGGCAAGGTACAGTATGTGCTGTATTTCTCCATTCCAAGACTCATCTTATTATTTACATTTCAGGAAACTGTTTCTGATGTTCCTCAGTTCATTTTCTTCCCTGTGATGTATATACACTATTTAGTGCATGTGGCCAATTAATGCAAGCTCTTTTATCCTAATGTTGTTATACAGCTATGCTGATATTGGCCATATCTTGTGACGATGTGGCTCCAAAAACGGGAGTTTTAATTATACATAACAACAAACCTTTGTACTAATGTTAATTTTCAAAGATTCTGCATCTTCAAATACATGAATTAATATGCTTAGGAACCGGCCTTGGCTTATGCCTCAGTGTCTATTTTAGGTTAGAATTTTCTACAGTCCAACATCACTTGTCATAGAGAAACAACCATGATCGGTATGAGAAGTGGCAGCTGATAAGTGACAAGTGATGAGTATTATTAGAAGTGACAACTCATCAAACCTCAGATCATCATTATACTTCTAAGTCAAATTACTGGCAAACCATGTCACATTATCATCTTGTGTCAATTATTTTCCTTAAAATATACAGCAGTTATCTACGATATAGTTAAATACAGTAAAGCCAATATACACAGATTTAGTGATAATGATGGTGCTCCATGAGACCACTAGTACAATATGCTGTGTGTTCACTTAGTGAAAAGGGACTGAATAAGTCAACAAAAAATATTTCCTTGCAGGTATATGACATATTTAAAGCCCAACTCTGGGATGAAGAAAAAACAAAAAACATTTGCAGTGCTCACCCTCCCCTCTCCCGCCTCCTTCAAGGTGCAAGGATTAAATACTCATTATCTCTATAGAATAGAGAAAGAGGCTGTATTACTGACCACATGTCTTGCTCTGACAGGCTCCAGCGCTCTCTTCTCCCTGACACTCCGAGTTGTGAGCAGTCCCTCACCGCCATCATGTACAATGCAGGATTTTTTCCTTGCATTGTTTGTGAGCAGGTAAGCGTATGACTGTGGCCGGCAGTGCCTACCTTAGAGAGGAGACTTTGGGGGACCAGTCACGCAGACTGAGGGAGCCTGCCAGTGCATGTAGCAAGGTAAGTTTTATAGCTCATTACTCTACCCGTAAACTTAAAGAGCATTTGACCCTGGCAGTGTGGGAGACTCCTCTGGAAGGGTATTTTTTTTACCTGTACCTGGAGTTTTGTTGTTGGAGGAAATGTTTTTATCACATTTGGCAGCCAATCAGAGTTCAACCATACTGTACAGTAAGCAGCACAGGAAGCATTTAAAGCCCAGTTGAAGATCAGAATCCCATTAAATAGACATTGCTCAGCTTACAACCTCCATTTTTGGACTACTTACTTAATTTTCCTGTTACAATGTTTGGGCGGTGTGTCCAATAGGCACCAGAGCTTGACCACAATGACTATCTGTAGTGGACATATTGATGCCAAATAATACGTTTTGGATACATTGGGGAAACCAGTGAACCCATGTAAGTTTTTTATTGTTGTCCATGTTTCTGTTGCAGATTGTCCTTAATGTTCTGTTTGGTAAAAACATTGTCATCAGCACAGTAAGAGAGGGAAAATCTCTGGAGCCCAGGAAGCAATAAAAACCCACCAGAGGGTTCTATTCCTTCCTCACTTTATCCAAAACTACAGAAAAAGGCTGGATAATTATTCATATTTATCAACAATCAGTGAGTGAAACTAACCTCTAACTCTTGAAATTCCTCCTCCTCTTCTACATCGTAGGAAAGGGTGTGGATTTTGATGTCTTCCGAGGAAAGGTCAATGAACTTGGTATCTGGGTAGTCAAGACTGTCTTTGGTTGGTGATCTGTCTTCAATAAATGTGGTTTCACAGCACTCTGCGCTGACATTCTCTCCCCAAGAACGTAAGACATTCTCAGAATACAGAATGATGTTGGGACGATAGTGGGACTCCACAGTCTGTTGCAGCATGTTAGGATCCAACAATTGTTGAACTGGGTCATTTTTTATGTTGTCTATGGCAGTCTGTGCTGAAATAGTTCCAACAATGTGACTCTGGTATTGGGGAGTTGGATAAACCGACACCATTCCATCTTTATTTTCTGCCATTAAATTTCTTGTGTTGATTAAGCCATTTCTTTTTCCAGCCTCTGTGATTTTATTATGCATAAGTACACTGTTCTGTTCAATTAAACCATCCATATTTTGTGTATGTGTATTTTGCTTGTTTCTGTGGCTCCAGTTATAGAGGGAACTGCAGGTCACATTTGCCTAATGGCTTTGATTTTCCTGAAAGCAGTAAAAATAAATGATGTAAGAAAAACAGGACTGCATGCCAGCACCATCTAAAAATGAATAATCAGACAAGTCAATGTAATTCAGTCATTAAGCTTGATAACACATGTTGCATTTTAACCTCACCGCATTATTTAGTTGCTTTTATTTCCAACAACTACAGTCCATATTTAATGCACTAATTAAATTAAAATACTTTTTCCGAAAATTCACTGCTTACTCATATGAATATATAACATTAAAAATAGGGGTATTGCTGCGTATCTATGCTGGCAAACACAAGAGGTAATATAAGTTATTAATTCATTTGATAAATTGCCTGGTTGTGTTTTACAGCACACAAAACTCAATTGAATTCAGTGCCAGATTTCATTGTGCAAATTCTGCAACTGTCTTGATAATTGTCGGGCCAAATTTATGTCTATTTGTGAACAACTTGTGCGCTTAAAAACCCACCTGGAAGTGCCAAATTGTGAAACCATTACCTAACACAAGGTCATACTGAAGTAGAACAATGTTGTGGATGATGGACCACAAACACAGCACAAAGAAAGAGTAGTTATTTTAAATCCAATGTTTTACTATGATAAAGTACACTTTTATAAAAGCTGAACACAAAACAAGACCACAGAAAAAATAAAATGTAAACCCACTGCCTTACAATCATTTGTCAAACTAATGTAATGGGGATGTGAGTATTGGGACACCCCTCCAAATCATTGTATTAAGAGGTTCCAATCACCTCTATGGCCACAGGTGTATAAAATCAAGCACATAGGCATGCAGACTGCTTCTACAAATATTTGTGAAAGAATGGGTCACTCTCAGGAGTTCAGTGAATCCAAGCGTGTTACCGTGATTGGTTGCCACCTGTGCAATAAGTCCTGTCCATCCGTGACATTTTCTTGCTACTAAATATTCCACGGTCAACTGTTAGAGGTATTATAACAAAGTGGAAGCAACTGGGAACAACAGCAACTCAGCCATGAAATGGTAGGCCGCATAAAAGCGAGGTCAGTGCATGCTGAAGCGCACAGTGCGCAAAGGTCGTCAACTGTCTGCAGAGTCAATAGCTACAGACCTCCAAACTTCATGTGGCCTTCAGGTTGGCACAACAACAGTGTGCAGAGAGCATCATGGAATGGGTTTCCATGGCCGAGCAGCTGCATCCAAGCCTTACGTCACCAAGTGCATTGCAAAGTGTTGGATGCAGTGGTGTAAAGCACGCCACCACTGGACTCTACAGAAGTGGAGACATGTTCTCTGGAGTAATGAATCACACTTCTCTATCTGGCAATCCGATGGACGTGTCTGGTTTTGGCGGTTGCTAAGAGAACGGTACTGGCCTGACTGCATTGTGCCAAGTGTAAAGTTTGGTGGAGGGGGATTATGGTGTGGGGTTGTTTTTCAGGGGTTGGGCTTGGCCCCTTAGTTCCAGTGAAGGGAACTCTTAAGGCATCAGCATGCCAAAACATTTTGGACAATTTCATGCTCCCAACTTTGTGGGAAAAGTTTGGGGATTTCCCCTTACTGTTCCAACATGACTGTGCACCAGTGCACAAAGCAAGGTCCATAAAGACATGGATGAGCGAGTTTGGAATGGAGGAACTTGACTGGCCTGCACACCTAAGCCTTGTGGACAGCCTTCCAAGAAGAGTTTAAGCTGTTATAGCTGCAAAGGGCGGGCCAACTGAATGTTGAACCCTACGAACTAAGACTGGGATGCCATTAAAGTTCATGTGCATGTAAAGAAAGGTGTCTCAATACTTTTGGCAATATAGTGTATATATACACATAGGCTAAATACTTTATATCCTTCAGGATTGAATTGTGAGTTTGATTCATCCTTTTTTTTTTAGAAAAAAAGGTTTATTTTTTTGCTGCGCTATTTTTCTTCTTTCTGTTTTAGATATGCCTTTGGAAGACATGGATATGAATATTGAATGGTATTAGAATACAGATACCTGGATGTTAATACTTATGCATTTCTTCTTGCTAGTGTGCAGAATTGCAATGATAGCTACCTTCTCCAGTATTTATATGAGTTATAAATTATTTATGTGATTTTGGTAGCTGTCATTTAAAATCTATATTCCATTTACAACAAATTTTATTGAATCTATATACTATTTAGGAGAATGTTATGATGAAATCTGTTACTGACCTGATGAAGAGCTGTTTGTAGCCTAAATTTTGTGTATTGAAGCCCTCATGTACTGGAATTCTGCATATTAGAACATATTAGAGGCATGTAAACAGTGCACTTATTTTACTTGGATTTTATTAGGGTTGCACAGATACCAAGTACAGTACTCGGTACAAGTACGAGTACATGTACCGATACTTTTGAGCTCCAAGACTAGACTAGATAAAAATTCAGAAGTTAGGAGTCAGCTGTCATTTGTAAGGATCACACGGAGCTCCTGGGATTTGTGCATCTCTGTTTTAATGTATGATTTTGTTTTTATAAATATGAATAAAGGGATGCACAGATACCAGTTTTGCGAGTACGGGTACTGGTACTTGCCGAGTACTTACAAGTACGAGTACTGATACATTTTTGTTTATTGTCATGTGACAGTTTTTCTAAAACAATACAGACTAATGATTTCCGGACAGTGGTGGAGCTCCAGAGCCAGGTCCCAGCTGCAACCGCTGCAACCCTGGTAGTTCTCATGAAAATGCCAAGTATCTGCACTGGTACTCGAAAAGTATCTGTGCATCCCTAGATTTTATCTTTGAGTATCAACCACAGGTGTTAATGTTTCCCATCCTGAAAAAAATACCGAATCTACCCACTGAATATCTTTGAATCTGAACTGAAACAACACAAGATAGCACAACATATTCCCTGGAAATATGGATATGTAGCTGTGATGGAACAAAAATATGATGGCCACATAAACATATGTAGGATGGAATATAGAAACTCCCTTTAAATATAACTATCTGTACCCAAAGTTAAATTAACTGCTGATAGAAGTAATTCTAGTTTGTAATTTTGACTCTTCTTCCTCTCATTGTCTTATATAAACAATGCTGCCCAAACTTCATTTAATTATTAGGTAATATGGCCAGAATCAATCTTTACTTGTCACAAATCAACACTACAAACACACCAGCCCTTATCCACATACACATTGTTTACTGTAACCTTTTTTGGGGTTTTTGCAGCCCATTCTTCTTCTTTCTTCATTTCCTGAGTGTTAGTCTTACAGCAATCAACAATTCTTCTCAAAAATTATACATGCTTTGGCAAATCACTTGTCATCAGGTATTGTTGGCGTATTTACCATAACAAAGGTTGTTACATTTTAAGTACTACATAAATAATTTATCATAAACAAACCACTAGGTGCATATGTATACTACCATTGTATCATCTTTTATGTATATCTTATTCTTATCTGAACAGTGTCACCCATCGCTGGACTGTCTCTTTTCAAAAGTACCGTAGTTTGTAGTTTTTTAAAGTAAATTGAACCACAAGCATGAATGCAGAGAAGTGAGAATTACACACCAATGGCCTGATTAGCTTAAATGTGAAGTGGTGAAATTAGTTTAAAGCTGAAAGCCAGGGGAAATATTATTAACCCATGCAGTGGGGCTACCCCCATAGTGCAAGGGTTAACTGCTCATTTTGGTCTAGGGAGAATAATAACAGGTATGCTCTGTGAATGGGAACACATAACAAACTTATGGTGGAGGTTTCTCAAGTTTGACTGCAAAAGTGGAAATACGCTTTAATGAATATGAACAATAAATACATGACAATAGAAAGAAAATATACAAACCAAACAATATACAGTAGCTCGATAAAGGACACATGAAGCTATACTACTACAGTAGTAACCAATAAAAACATTTTGTTAAAGTCAAGAATTGTGATGTGAACATTTGACAAGAGAATAAATTAAAGTTAACATGTTGCAAGGAAGTAAAATCTATTTTATTGATAGAACTAAATATATTTTTAAAGAGAATGCAACTCTGTATTCAGTAAATGATGTGTCTGCAATAAATCACAAAGCTGAGCTTCAATCCAAAGAACTAATTGCACACACCAGTTATATAGGATATCTTTAGTGAATTAATAAGGTGCTAATGTTCCTTTACTGTCAGGCTGAGGACTACATAAGGACATTACAAACATTTATCACATATTTTATTTATGATATCTAAATAATTCACTACAGAAATTAATAGATGGCTACAACGCCATATTAAGACTGTGTAGTGCCCCAGGTCATAGTGAATGAATACAACTTAAAACAGTAATTGTCCAAAATCAATGTCATGATATGAACTTAAGGTTTAGGCTGGATAAATGGTTCTCTAGTAGAGACCAAACAGTAGACAAACAGTGCACATGGAAAAAAGAAACTCAGGTATAGTGGAGAACTATCCAAATCCCTGTTTTACTAGTTTAAAGTGTAACTAAATCCAGAAATATTGTACTGTATATTTTGCAGCTTGTCAGCAGGGATGAGATTCCAGTTCCCAGCCATGTAGAATTTGACACAAACTTTCCATGTTCACAGTTCACAAAACGGGCAAACAAAATGGCCATTTCTTTTGCATGCTAAACTTCTGGCTGCTGGAGCCCAAACTCTTGTTTGGTGGCAGTGACACTACCAACACTAAATGAATGACTTTCTGCTCCTTGGTTGCTTAAACACTGGCAGCTTCCTGCACCCTAGCAACCAATGACACTTTGCAGGCCAGCTGCCTGTATCCTTGTAATCGATTACATCACTGGTAGGTAGGATGCCAGCAGTCGCACAACCAGTGGTTGTTATTGTGCACTATAACAATCAATCACATTGTGCACAAATGTAAAAATCCATACTAGACTTTTATTTGACCATGCAGCCTTCAGGGCAAGAAAGAGAGGGGCTGCAAGCATGAGTCCCAACCCTCCTGAACCATAGCAGGTCACATGCCCTGAACATAGGGAAGATACCGTGCTGGGGAAGATGAATGTAAACAAAGGG